TACATACCCCAAAAATTACCTACCCTTACAATGTTTGCACAAGGGGCCGATGAACGAATTGATGTATTAATATCTTATGTCGTAAAACATTATCATCTACTAAATGACAAAATTATTAACTCTTGTTGAAATATTATAAAATGCATGTAACAGTAAAAAATACTTAGAATGAAATAGTTTCACGGACTTTAATTAAGATTCTATTGTACGTTTCGCCTTATCAGGGCATCTTCAGGAGATACTGTGCTGTAACAAGGGTTTTCACTTTCTCATTTAAGGTTATCAAGAAGGATTAATGTTATTTTTAAACTCAGATTCTACTCAATTAAAATTGCATGAACTGTCCTATGTACAATATTGTTTATAATTACAAATGACTTAAAGTTGTGCATCATTCAAAGGCCTTGTGAGTCTATTGCAAGCGTGAATCTTCCTCTGTCGTATGTTGTAATTAGTTATAGTATAGTTATTACTTATTCTCCAAATTAGTTTTGATTGAATCACTAAAGTTTGGAGTATCCAAAAATAGTTGTGATAAATATGAATAATGGTGCGGAAATATGATTAACGATTTGCATATGCCATTAGTCAAGGTCACTTTTTATTATTATGTAATTCATTTTGGATTTACTTAATGTATAATGTTCAGTGTATCTATCTAGGGTACGTAATGAACTGGCTAGTGCTTTGGTCACTTATCTTTGTTTGAGATAATAGACTATCTATTTATTCTCTCTGATAAATACGTAATCGTAGTCAGAAATAGTCATTTGTAAGTTCTCGGAAATTCTAAATTCTGCAAAAAGTATTTTTTTATTTAAAATTAAGACCGAATATAACATGTTTGACTAGTTTTTTTGAATTGTAGAAACATTAATTTAATTGCATTTATTCATGCTGGAGTTGAAGTTTATAAATATAAAATACGATGCCGTCACACAACAAATACTTTCTTGAAGAACCGTGATTTATAATTTATAATGCATATTTCAAGCAAAGTTTTACGCACTTGGCTTTTGAGTACTACAGAATTTGAATTTCATAAATCCATAAAATTTTTAATTGATTTTACGCGTACAAAAGGTCAAAATAGCATCGCAATTAATCTTAAAAACGTTTTAATTTCAATCGTTTTAGTATTGAGAATATACGTAGCTGAAATTTTAATTAATGGTTTTATTTGGATCAAAGTTAAACTTCGTGTTTTGTAATGCGTGACAACTTTAATTGTTATTTAGTTAATTGTGAATATATGTTTTTACGGCGATTACAAGAATTTGTGGAATATTATTGCTCGAAAGCAAAATACAATACATTACAGAAAGTAATTGCTGTAATCGCGTTGTTAATTATTTTTTGTGTAAGATAATTGGAGAAACATCAGACAATAGATCAGGTTCGATTGAATTACGTCAGTTCATTCGGTTATAATGGAACTTGCATATAAGGGATTTTAGGAGATAGAGTCGGTAAAATAAAAATATTGGAAGTAAATCCTAATTCTCATTTTATTTAACATCCATTTGTATTGTTTTTTTTAGTTGCTACTATAACTTTTTATAACACAAATAATCGTTAATGTTAATGTAGTAAGTTTTAGAGTACAAGTTGTTTGTCATAAAAAATGTATTAATTGGAAGAATATCGTTAAATTAAGTGTATTGTTTGTGAACTTATTGACCACTTATTCATCAACAAATAACTACAAGCAGTGGTATTGTGCAATAGAATAAAATTTTATTGCAGATTCTGCCAAGGTAATTTGGGAGAAGAAGATTGCTTGTGTATCTAACTCTGTGAAGGATTTTCCTAATTTTTTTAATTTGACTAAAAAAGCAGCCGCAGCAAGCGGTAAGTATTTGAATACACTTATTCTATTCATTTTCAGAATAACAAAATTAATTAATAGAGTGGATTCAAACGTGTTTACTTGGGAAACTTTTATTTAAACACTTAAAGATGTTTTTGCAGCAGTGCATTTTTTTTTAATTATATTTGTTATTAACTAAGTAAAGTTGCATAGTTACGTGGTTATGCAAACAATTTCTTAAGAGTGTTTTTCAAAATTAAATAATGAAATTTGCATGGATTATTAGTTGTTCTTCAATTGTATTTCTGATGCGATTATTTTAGACTAATTAGCATAGGTATATTGTAGATATATGAATTTAGTAACTCTAGTCAGTTTTTCTTAGGATTTCTTCGAACTAAACATGTAAAGTTAATCTACCGATAGATGTACTAACATAATTAGTACGTTGTTTATAATTACACTTCATTTCGTCCTTAATATTTATAACGCCATGCCAGTTTTATTAAACTAGAGTGGTTTATAACACTAATGTAAACACTTGTGGCAAAATATTTGTGGAATATTCTGTCTTGCGCCTAACAAATATTGTCTCAAAAATTCCATATATTTTCATATTTTTCTAACAGAAAACAACAGTGATAAATAAAAAATATTTTCTTTTGCCAATTAACAAAATTTGAAAAAATTATAAAAGATCATTTTTAATTTCAGGCGATGATGATGTATTAAAGTATTGGGAGAATCTCTCAGATGTTGTAGAAATGTACTCGAAATTGCAGTCCCTTTGGGAAGAAGTAAAACCCCTTTACACAAAATTACACGGATTTGTCAAAAAAAGGCTTTTTAATCATTACAAATTAGAAGACAATAACGGTACTGAAATTCCCGTTTATTTACTTGGTAAGTGTGTTAGTAAATATATTACATACGTACATCTAAAAATGTTTACATAACTCTTATCATTTACGTAAATGTACTCAGGATCATATATGTACGACAAATTAGATAAACGCTGGGATTTCGTATACAATTCCATTCGTTCACATATTTTTGATAAAGGTCAAAAGTTTTTTTAATATGAGGCACAATTTTGGGAAAATTGCAACTGTTTCTGTAATAATGAGTTATTTTTCTCTTTGGTTTTATATATACAGTATGTTAAATTGTGTATATTTGCATAATTATTGCATTTGTCATAATCAGTTGACGAATGGTTGAATTACAAAGGAAACAAGTTTTTACAACTTTTCTGGGAATATTAGTATAGATACCTACCTATATGTGACACGCATTATAATTTACAATTATTAATTGTAGACTACATAATTATTCACATTAAAAAAAGTGTTTAACATTACAATGGATTAATAACAAGGAAGTTTTCACTATACTGATGTCTGATCGTATATTTTATATTTTACACAAAATAAAAAGTATTTAAAACATTTTCTCCCAAGTGTTTCAGTAACTTCGTCCAAAAGTCTTAAACATTGCGTCGCATTTGAAGTCAGTATTGAAATTTGCAATGTCAAGGTTGTTTATTAACTTAGCCAAGTTTTTACTCTATCATATAACGAAACTTAAAATGAGCACGGAACCTTAAGTCTTATGGATTTAAATGTTTTATTTCTCATAAACCATAGCACGTTAAGTTAAATCTTAGAGGTTGAAAACATAATGTAGTAATAATTTTACTACAAGATTAATATAAAGCCAATAATCTCAATCAGCCACATCTTGTGATGATTTTTGATTATTAAAATGTCTGTTACTTATATAAATAGTCTGCAGACTTTATACCATAGCCTTTGTTCAAGGAATTTCCTTTGTAGGTTCTGATTTTGGTGAAGATTGGTCTGATATTGCAGAATTCATTGTTCCTCATGCTCAATTATATCATGACGTAGTAACAGAAATTCAGCATAAGGTATATAAACGTCTATATGAAATACTTTTATTTGTTACTGTAAATTGATTTTTTTCAGACCATAAAAAGGATATATAAATTAGCAGAAAATATGACAAAGTCAGTGGGACTTTCTGGACTTGGAAAAGGATTCTGGAGAAACAGTACATTCAATTCAACAAATTGTAACACTGTGCTTTTCGTATATTGCAGCGAACAATTTACAGAGTAAGTAACTATAAAATGTGTTTTGAAATTTTCTTATGTTTTGAATGTTTTTTTTTATATAACAGAATTTCAACATGCAGCAACATATCGTGGAAATCATACTTAAAAGCTCACGAAGTTGCAATGGAAATCGCCTTGAACAACATGGATTACGATTCACTACCTCGAAGAAATTTAAGGTACTCAGCTGCAGACGAGGCTCTAATAGGTTTATCGTCCATTTTGGCAGTAAATAACTTGCCATTGTATGGCATTTTGGAACCTGATGCATTAAAAGTTAAAGACGAAAATTACAATCAGAGAATGACCGCATTGTTACTGACGGCCCTACAGGTACTTCCAAGGTTAGCATATTACGTCGCCGCGGAAAAGTGGAGAACAGAACTAATTCAAAATCAAAATGGATTAGTCAATTTGGGCGAAGAATGGTGGAAGAAAAGGTAAAAGAAATCAATAATAAATTGACGAATCCAGCAATTAATTTTAGTGTTTTGTTTTAGGAAAGAAATACAGGGTGTTGTGGGAGTTACTAATGCAGAAAATGACTACTTACGAGACCTGTATATTACAAAAAACCAGCCATACTTAAGGTTAATAATTTTTTGGTATTATAGATAAACAATATTGACATATTGATTATTTTTCTTGCAGCAAAATTTTGGGCATATTTCTCCAATTCCAGCTATACGATTATTACTACAAGAGTCAGATTGATCCAGAGCAAAATTTGGCCACGTCTATAGGAGAAGACATGAATTTTAGGTAACATTATTTATTTATTAACGGAGAACGAAATAATCATCATTTTAATTGGTAATTTTGTCTTTAGATTGTTTGTCAAGGAGAGACCAACAAGAGACTGGCTTTCGCTTGTAACATATTACTTCGAAATATCAGAAATATCTTCGGCTTCTCTTTTGGAATATTTCCAACCCTTAGAGCAATACTTGGACAATGCACCGGAAAAGCAGGAACCGTTTACGAGAAAACCACCCAAAAAAGTCGAACTCACTGACGAAGATTATTCGGAAACAACCACGAGAAAATCGAAGAAAAACAAAAAGAAGGAGCAGTTGAAAACTAGTTCACCTCTTCCAGCTTTCGAAGATGATCTTACCAATTATGGAATCGCCACAGACGAGGATAAAGAAAAGGAAGAAAGAAAGTCTGTCAGTAAGCAGAAGAAAGCCAGCAAAGAGGGTTCTGAGAGGGTGTCAATAACAGACGAAGGGGATGTTCAAAACGACCAGGGAAAGAAAGATGGGTCAGACGGTGAATCTTCTGACCCGGAGAGTAAACAAATCCAAAGCCAAGGAACCAAATACACTACCGACATGTCACAAACGATTGGAACTTACATTGGAATAGTTGTAATAGTTTGTTCTGTTGTGACAATTTCTGCAGTCCTTATCAGACAAAAAATAAGACGAAAGAGACATACTAACAATCGGAGATTCGAAACGTAACGTTTTAACTGGTACCAATAAAATCGATCGTAATATTTATTGTATTGTGGCAACGTCGTAGTCGATTTGAGTCTTACATCTCATTCCTTTCCGAGTCTAGTCAGTGATATTTGTTTGTAGTGTCCTGTTACTACTTATAATTAGATTAGAATGTTAATTGATATTTTTCCTTAAATAGCCTTTTAGAAAAAGGTAAGTCGATATTTTTACTCAAACACACCCAACACGTAATGTTATTTAATTATGAAAAAAATGGAATTTTTTAAATTTAATAGAATTAATTGATTCAAAGGATTTCGTATTTGAAGTTTAATTGTCTATTTCGTTTAAAATTGATACATTAGGTGCAATATAACAATAAATTTTCGTTAATTGATAACGTTCAGGTTGAGCCATCCGAATTATGTCGATAATTTTCGAAATTTGAAAATCNCATTGCATTTTTGTCATTTCACAAGTATCGAGCCAAAATTAATTTTACCTGCATTGATACAAGTGTTTTATTTCTAAGAAAAAACCTACTAAACTACTGCGAAAAGCACCCTATAATTAATTCATTGTCAAAGGGTACAATTCACGGTACACTTGTTTTAAGAAAATGACAATATTTAAATGTGTGCTGAACAAAGTGTTCCACTTGGTATGTACCACATGCATTTATTTCACGGACCAAGAACTAATTCCATCGGCGGAACTGAATATATATTTGCATCTTAGTTTCATTGAGTTCGAGTACTTCCAGCGGCAGTTGATTTTGAAAGTCAAATTAGTGGTGGTTTGATCATTTAGCCATTTTTGTTAAAAGGTATGTATATTTACAGGACACCGAAATATATTATACTTGAACCTAAGATCAAACGACTTGGCTCTATTTATTTATTTTCTAACAATTCCATTCCAAAAGAAACAAATAAATATATGTATAGATAGGCTCCTAATATTTGCTACGTTTGAAATTAGGAACAAGGATGAGGTTCACAATTAAATTGGTTAAGAAGAAAAAGAGGAAATATATGTTTTATGAGAATATTTTTAACTTTGTGACGTGTTTGATTTAGATACCTGTGTTATTTACTTTAAAGTATTTTAATATTTAGAAAGAAGGCAAAGTAAAAGACAAAAAAGTTTTATAAAACGTAAAAAACCCCTTGGGTTATACACTCAGTAGGTGTATTGCTGGTGTTCGTCGTATATTACTAATTAACCCGCTGTTTTTAATTAACTAATTAGTAACGTATCTGTTCTTTATTTTAGTGTGACAGCAGATGTACCTACAACCACGAACGAACGAAATGTAAAGAAAAAGCTTGTCAAAGTTGTGTGGGACCAATTGTTTTTTATTAATGTACCATTTACATATACTTTTAATTATTCCTTTGCTAAGCTTTTTCTTGCCCATTTTTATTATTAGCAATATAGTGGCGTCTCAAATATTCCTACTAATTATCTAATGAACCTAAGCAGAGCAGTATTAGTAATAAATAAATATAACGAAAGTAATTTTTAGTTAGAAGTTTGTGTTTTATTTCTTTCAGAACCCATGGAACAAAGGTATTCAAATACTGAACTTACTTTTTGGGTTAAATTCTTTAAAAGGAATCGTATAATCAAATTTATCAAATATCTACTTTCAGAATTGATAATTTAATGCCTTTCAATTAACTTTTTATACCGTTATTTGTCGGTTATCATTTTTGATGATATTTCTTTTATACATTTACAGCGTCAATGTCTTGAATTTCAAAAAGCTTTTACCAGATTGTTATTATTTACATTTAAAGTGCTGTTTTTAATTAAAATCGTAATTAATTAAGGTAAGTGTACATCATTTGAAAAGAAATGCAAATATTTATTTGGATACGAAAAATTAATTAAAAAAATAAAATTCATCAGAAGTAATGATCTAATAAACAATATCATAACATAAATTAAGCAATTCTTTGGGTTTCTGATAAACATAAATAAATAATTAGTTGATATAGTGTGAGGGTGAGGAGGGCATCTAGATAACATACATATATATTTTAGGGAAAATTCTGTAGGGGAAATTCTCCTAAAAGGAATATTCTTGTTCCCGGAATAAAGACTCAAATAAAACACTATTACTAATTTTATATATATTTATATTTACAAAGGCACTTAATCGTAACAGGAATAAATAATTTTTAATTTTCTATCTATAATGTATTAATAATTTATCGCTATATTTAATTTTTTTGTTGGGCGTTGTTCAGTATACTCCCAAAGTCCGTGTCTATGCTAACTGACTTGTCTAAAACAATATTCCCAGTTCCTCCTCTGGATGTGCCTGGCGCTCTGAAAATTTCATCCCCGCTTTCTTCATCTTCGTCTTCTAAATTTTCTAAAAAATTACAGAATATAGCGTTAAATATTCAGATAAATAACTAATCTTCAAAATTT